ATTATTATTATTGTTATTTAATTGTATATGACATTGACTATTACTTAAATTTTGCCTCATTCCTACATTTAAAAAGCAAGTTGGTGGCTATCAAAAGTTACATGAACCTGGATTCCTCTTGATTTTAAACATTGTGATGTTGTCAATATGCAGTCACTAGTCATGTGAAAGTTTTCTCTCTCTGTATATATAGATAGTTAGATCCCAAGTTTGAAATTGGAACTGCTCTGTTTAAACTGAATAGATCTGGCTTTAAACATAATTCTGACTGTCACTGTTCTAACGAAGTCACTGGGAATCAAACACAAGGCTCTTGATAGTTCCTATCAGTGGTATGTTGTCGCTCCCTATCCTCCCTGACACTTTCATCTTTCTTGCTTGTGATTTATTTCAAAAGATACATCAAAAGAAATCTCTTATTATATTGCTGTGTTCACAGCATTATCTAACTCGGGGTTCCAGTGGACAAGTCTCAAATGCCCTGCTGTGAGATGGCGGTTCAGTAATGTAACTGAAGCCAAAAACCACTGCGATATAGAGAAACATTTCTAGATTAACTGGGATCGTAAAGATTATAACAGAAATGAGGTGGGATGACCGGATGTGGTTAAACACTGATCTTATTTCACTGGGTCATTACGCTTGGAACTTAAGAGTTCCTCACACTCACACACAAAAAGAGAGTTAGAGGTTTAAATTGTAAATTCATAAGCAAACAGTGGGGTTTCAAGATGCATTAGCCTCCCGTCGACGTCCTAATTCCCGTCTGATTTTTGAATTAATAAGGGTCATCGTCATAAAAAGAAGAAACTAAAAGCACCCAAGGGGGTGTTGGTGCAAATCGAAGCTGCTGTAAAGTAGAGTTGTATGTAGTCTTGGGATGCAGTTGCCATGGAAACTGTTTAATTCTCCCTCACTGTCTGGGTTGTGACGTTAATGTATCCAGCAGGTCCACTGAGCCCGAGCTGAGGTTGACTCTGTTTAGGACCGGTCTCTACTCATATACATCAGCACTGCAGCAAATATATTGAATCACAATAATAATCCTTGCATTTGATAGATAGAGCGTCTTATAACGTTGTTGAGCTATCTGAAAGATATATATGTATATATACACACACACACACACAGCTATATGCCAAATTGGATTCCAGAACTGATTTGAAACCAGAAATACCTCTATGGAGTGATCGTCTCACTTTCTGTGTTTAGATGCGAGAAATTGGAATTTTAAGCTGCAACTAGAATTAACGGGCTCTAGTTTAAAATTAGAATTGTGCGCAATTGGCAGGTGCGTTTCGCCCACAAAATACACGGTCAATTCACTTCACGGTATAGTCTGTGGAGCGCTTTGAGACGTCACTTGATGACGTCACGTCCTGGATGAGAACGAACTTCCTTCAGTTGAACGTCAACAAGACCGAGGCTCCTGATTGGCTCCCATCAGCGCCTCCTCAGCTCAGGCGCTGACAGCATCACCATTCACGGGGTTCACTCCCCCTAACTGAGCCAGTCCCGAACCTTGGGGTCTGGTTTGACCCTCAACTATCCTTTCTACCCCACATCCATCCCATGACAGCTCTGCCTTTCCCACCTCCGCAACGTCTCCCGGCTCCGACACTGTCTCACATCTCAGGCCCCCGAAACCCTCACGCACACATTCATAACGTCCAGGCTCGACTATGCAAACTCACTGCTTGTCGGCCTCCAACTCCTCCCTCCACAAACTGCAGATCATCCAGAACTAACTCTGCACCCAGTGTCCTCTCCAAAACCAGGCTCTGTGACCCTATCACCCCCATCCTCACCCAACTCCACCGGCTTCCCGTCACACAGAGGATACAGTTCAATATCCTGGTCCTCACCTTCAAAGCCCTCCATGGTCTTGCTCCCCCCCCCCACCTCTGCCACCCCCTAACTCCCTACCACCATGTTCGCTCCCTCCACTCAGTGGGCTCCGGCCTGCTTCACACCCCCCACCTCGCCCGCCCAACCATTGACGGGCAAGCCTTCTGTCACTCTGCCCCTACCCTCTGAAACTCTATCCCGCAGTCCCTCCGCCTCGCCCCCTCCCTTGCCACCTTCATGACACATCTCAAGACCCTCCTCTTCGACCGTGCCTTCGTTCACCCTCGTTCCCCCCCTGCCCTCCACCCTCCCAAATCCCGACCCCCCCAGCTCGGGTCCGAAACACTGACTGCCCAGCGCCTTGGGACGTCCTCCCGACATGAAAGGCGCTTTACACATACAATTTTGCTGTATCGGATCCAAGGATTATTTTTATTATCATAATTAGAGTGACAGAACAGGTGGAATATTGTGGATCAGATAATTCCTTTCACAGGCAAACACCTCCCAACTCACACTCACAATTGGCAGGACGAGGTATGTGGCTTTGCTTTAAAAGCAAATGCATTTCTTTTCCTATGCATCAGTTTGCAGGTTGGGGGAGAGAATTGGGGGTGTGTGTGAGTGGGAGTGGGAGGACAACAACAGTCATATTATTAATGATTTAAAACTGGCGCTGAAAAAGAGAGTGACACTCCAGAAAAAAAAAACTTTCATGAATTATTCAGATGAGAAAGAGACATTTCCCTACAAGGTCGATGAGTGTGTTAAAAAAAAAGGTTGGGCTCATTTTTTTTAAAAAAAGAGTGGAGAATCCCTCCTCTCTCTCTCTCTCTCTCTCAGTTGCACATTGCAAACTCCAGGCTTTGGGGGTTAGGAAGGATTCTGCAGTCATAATAGCTTCGTCCATTCATTCGGATGAGGTTTTCATTGACATGTTACTGGGAGCACATCCACTGCAGCTTCAGCTTTACTTCGCAGCTGCCAAGAGATTTGTTTGAGGACGTTTCATTGCTAAGTGAATTAAGTCTATTTTGGAACTCAACCCTCGACTCCAAGAGGATGGGCTTCACAGCAATAGGGAAGAAAGATTAAAAAAAAATTAACAGCTCGTCCACAACAGCACACACACACACATACATACACACACACACACAGACCCCACACACACATACATACACACACACCCCCCCCCCACAAAAAAAAATATACCATTTGTTCTAGACAATGTCTTGATGGGATCATTGGCAGCAGAAGATGACTGTGAGTAATCTATTTTCAGAGGCTTGTTATTGCAGGCACTTTTTTTTAAAAAAAAGCAAAAATACTGTATATATATATTGTTTGCTGATTCTGTGGAGGTGTATTTCTGGCTGCAGTTACTTATTCTGCTGTGGTCAGAATCTCCTCTGGTTTGTGCATTTCACGTATATGATCTCTCGTGCATTTTCTTTTCTCTTTTTTTCCCCCTTTTTTAAAAAAAAAGAAATCAGTGCAATTGCACTATCTGCAACAGTCATTTCCTGGCAGCAACATCACCATTATCTTTATTCCAGTTGAATGTGTTACAGTCTGTTAAATTGCATAGACTTTTTTTCCCCCCTGGGCGAAAGATGGGTAATGTCTGAAAATAAATAAGGTACGATTCCTTTTATTTGCTCAGGAGCCCTTGATGGCAGTATTTTGTGTGTGTGTGTGTGTGTGTGGAGGGGAGGGTCAGCAAAAAGCTCTTCCCACGTAAATATTTATTTTTGTTGTTGTTGTTTTTTTTTGCAGATGTATGTGCATCAATAAATAAATAAAAACACATGAAAATAACTTTTAATGAATGGTTGGTTGGTTAAATAGCGTTTGCTTGTGTCTGGATAGCTTTTTTTTTCCCCCTTGAAAGCCAAACAGCTGTGACCTGGGCAAAGGGGATGGGGGTGGAGAAGGGGTCTGAGCTATAATGAATCTCCCCCTCCCCACCCCTCCCCTCCCCACCCCAGTGACTGTCCAGTCCAGGGGACCACTCTCCATCTCCAGGGCAGTGTGTGGGAGAGCCTGTGGTTGAGGGTGGAGAAGGCTGTGTGTGTGTGTGTGTGACTCATTCCCTAACAGTACAGACTCCTTCAACACACTTATAACATCCACATATTTGTCAACTGACGTCAAGCCAGAGAGTTAAAAGGGAAACATTCCTCTCTCCCTGTCTTCTCCATCCCTCGCCTCACTCCTTTCCTCCCTTTCCTCCCCTTCCTCCCTTCCTTTATACAGTGGTTTCCCCTTTGTGTTGTTCCTTCCCAGATGGTCACAGTTCAGGTCACAGGGTCCACAGATTTCTTTCTTTTTGCTGATTGTATTTCAAAAGAAATGAGAATTCTTTGAAGCATTTTGCTAAAAAAAAATACACACACACACACATGCAAAACACCTGGGACTAGTTTCCTCTGGCTGTTTTGTTCTTAGATTGTTTTAATATAGCTTTATGAATATTATTATTATTATGAAAAGAATCAAGAAAAGAATGCATGTGCCCTGACTCCCAGCAGTCGCCTTGTGCTGGTGCATTTTCACTCCACAGATGACAAACCCACAGAGGTTAGGGGTGTGGAGTGGTGTGTGTTTTGTGTGTTGTGAGACATCAAACGGATGAGAACGTTCAAGGAACCTTCTTAATAATAATAACAATCCTTGCATTTGATACGAGTGCATTATCACGTCTTCTAGACATCTCAAAGCGCTTCACAGAATATGCCGTAAAGTGAATTGGCCGTATATTTTGCGGGCGAGACGCGGCAGCCAGTTGCGCACAGCAGAGCCCCCACAAACAGTCGTGGAATTGAAGTGACCCAATTTATTATTGTTTTTTTTCTTGAGGGATTATTATCAGGCGTGCGGAGTAAGGAAACTTGCCCGGGGTTTCTTGCTCCTACAACGAAAGAGGTGGTGTTTCACTGCATCTGTTTGTGGGTGTGTGGGTGGGTGTGTGTGTGGGTGGGTGTGTGGGTGTGTTTGAGAGACAGACAGACAGACAGAGAGAGAGAGAGAGAGGTGGTTTGTGGAGTGTGTGTGTGTGAGCAGGATTAGCAGCAGAGACGTTTCCCTTTTAAGAGGACTTGGGAGTGAGATGAAAGCTGAGTCTCCTGGTTGGTGAGGTTCAGGTTTGCTGACTGGAGGATTGGAGCCAGGACTGATCTGATCTGATCTGGTCTGGTCTGGGGGAGGGGGCTTTAACCTGGTCTCTGTCTGGGTGAAGCTTTCCCTGAGAGGGTAACCATTTGTCGGGATAGTTTTGCTTTGCAGAGAGAATAACCCATCAACACCTCGTGGAGCTGAGTTAGTGAGTGAGTTAGTGAGTGAGTGAGTGTCTGTGTGTGTGTGTGGAGCCACTGGTGATCCACTCACTCCTCTTTGCACAGACTGTGATTTATTTTAATTCACACACACACACACACATTAACTATTTGTTCTCGCCTTTCCTTTGTTCCCTATAGCTGTAGCTGTGGGTGTAACCTGTTTAAAGGACAGAAATAGGCAGTGGAGATAATTGAGCTGAAACTTGCAAGAGTTGGGAATTCTCTGCCTCCCCCCATCTCTCTCTCTCTCTCTCTCTCCCCTATTTCCCAGGAAAAGGAAGAGGAAAGGGAATGGCTGAGGCAGTGAGGGGATGTTTAACCTAAAAAAAAATCCTGGAGGAGCTCCAAATATAATCAAACCTTGCAAAATTGTTTGATCTCATGATTGTGGGCAATTCTCTCTCTCTCTCTCTCTCTCTGTGTCCTGGCACTGAGGAAGGTTTCAATGGTTGAAACACTTCACTGTGTCACAGAAAGCAATGTGTTAAGTTAGGCCCTAAAAGGCCCACCGTGTTCGAGACTGTTTAAGATTTCATACTGCGCCCAACTCTTGGTTTTAATTTTTTTTTACAAAAAAATTGAATTTTTTTTGGAAAAACTGACTGTGTTTCAAAAGATTTCTGGGTCGATCCACAATTGCATTGAGCTCCCAATTTGCACGCACGGCTGGGTTTCTGTTAACAGATTTTTAACTGTGAGAGATAGATGTTCACAGCAAGAATTTGGATGCATTTATTTGATTCTTACTTTTGGAAATTGTTAAAAGCTGATGTGCAATGATCGCCTACCACCAATAATTAAGAGAATTATGTTCTCTATTGAAAGTTGCAATAAATCTAGCCCAGCACATATTTGTATGTTTGTGCATATTTTAGTGGGCGTTGCAAGAAAGCCTTCAGGCAAAGCATTCCAGTGTTTCAGTGAGTGCAGTTTAGGCAAAGTGGTCAGTGGGGCAGATTACAAACTAGACAGTGATCCGTTCTCTTCCTCTGATCCTATTTTGTGTTTAATGTGAGCTAAGTTTGGTTACAAAAGTCCTGTATGTGTTTTGTCACCAGTAAAGTACTTTCAAACAGTATTTGGCTAGTCTTTCAACCATAGTGCACTGATTTTGGCCAAATGCCATTCTTTCAAACTTAGTTGAGAAAAGTCTAGCCGGTTGATGACATACAAAATACCTATGAACTAACTCACCCCACTCTCCCAACCCCTCGAGTATATAACATTGGCAAATAAGGTGATTGAAAACTTGGACGCATTTATTTTCATTTAACCTAAAGCTGGATAAAGCCAGAAATGTTTGTATCGAACAATAGGAAAAACTGATCAAATAATATACTGTAACTGTAAATAATGCAGTATTCCACTTGGGCTTTTACTGCAGTATTGAAAGTACAGTCGCAGGTTAAACAGTAATAAATTGCGGCCTTGATTGTTGACCTGCACTGTTGAATGATGGCTTACAACAATCCCGAGGCATTAACTGTTGGAATAGCTGCGGTTAAGGTATGCTTTTGAGCAGATAAAATTGAGAGTTGAAGTAAAAATGTAAACTCCTCAGTGTTTTTGTCAATAGATACAGTCTTGTTAGACGCTTGCTATTTCAATATTTAATTTGTATTGTTTGTAAAGTGTTTTTGACAATGAACCAGTGTTTACTGTTGGACAGATTTGTTCACAATTCTAATATAAAAATAGCTTGGAGCGTAACTGGCCAGGCTGAGGGTTTGGGTTACCTGTTATTACACGGAGAGCAGTCTCTCGAGGCTTAGAAGCAAAGAGTCTAAAATGCGCAGTCTGAGATTTCAAATGATAGTATATTAAATCTACAACAACTTGGCTTTCTGGTGATCATAAGCAAGGTCAAAGAATTAGTATTTTTAGGCAGGATTTAAGGACAGATGGAGAGAGGGTGAGTCAGAGGAGCAGAGATTGGGAGTTCCAAAGGTTAGGGATGGAGGAGCTGAAGGTGTGACCATCAACGGTGCCGGGAAGAGAGTAAGGGAAATAATTCTGTGTTGTGTTTCTGCGGTTGGCTTAATGCTTTAGACTCAAAGGGATTCTTGAGCAGGGCAAAAAAGTTGAAACCTTGGCTGATGAGTTTGATTATTTGCGAATCTTTGAATGTTTGTTATGTACAACGTTTACATTGAAAAGTAAACTATTTTGGGGTACTTAGTGAATCAGCTACACTTGTGAATCATTGACATTGAAAGCACAAGGCACATTTTACTTTTGAAAACAACTCTCTATGTTGGTTGCTTTGAAATTTGAAAGTACAAAATATTCTGTGTCTAACCAGATATTTTTTGAACAAAAGGATATATTGTTTCTGAATGTTTCCCAGAGACTGAACATGCTTTCATGAGAAAGCTGGCTTCAATAGGAAACGGGAAATCGTGTTTTGTCGAACGTTATGTCAAAGTAACCAAACGCGACTGGCTTTTTGATTGTTCTGCTTTTCCTCTGCAGGATTACAGGGAGGATGGTATGGATTTGGGAAGTGACTCTTGTAGCCGGGCAAGTTCAGAATCAAATTCCAACAAAGTGACGCCATGTTCCGAGTACAAATCCTCTCCAAGTCTGGACCTGTCTACACTGGGGGACTATGAGGAAGACGAGGATTATCAGGAGTATAAAAAGAAGGTGATCGAAGAATGGGAGAGCGAGTATGGCGACTACTCTGAGAACAATGGCTATGTCAAAACTATGAACAGTCGGAGTCTAGCCGAGGAGATTCAAGAGGTTAAAATTATCCCCACGGCGCCTCCTGACACTGTGACTGAAGAACTTAAGCAGAATGGCAATGTAGTGCCAAGTAGAGGAAGCATAAAGGGAAATAAGACCCTTCCAAAGCCACAGAAGGCACTGCAAATAACTGGTGGAGGTGGTGGTGTTGGTGTTGGTGGTGGTGGTGGTGGTGGTGTGGCCAAAATCCCATTGGAGAGTTTGGGAACGTTTGTACCAGAGGAACCTCAGCTGCCCACCATGGACTGGGCAGCTCTGGAGAAGCATCTCGCAGGTTTACAGTTTCAGGAGCAACAAGCACAAAACCAAAACCAGAGCCAAGCAAAAAACAACTTCACATCAGTAAGTCCCAATTCTATTGCGCTTACTGTTCTTTTTTTTTGAAAAAATGTTATCTAAAAACACTTCTGAATTGATATTCTATTTATTACCGGACAATCATTGTTTAATGCAGCATTTGAGGGTCTGATAGGAGTGATGCTGTTGTGCAGCATTTATATATAATAATCCTTGCATTTGATACAGTGCTTTATCACATCTTCGAGGCGTTTCAAAGTTCTTCACAGAACACACTGTAAAGTGAATTGACTGTGTATTCTGTGGGCGAAACAAATCGGAATTTCATTCCATCTTGCTGTTGTCTCATCGGTCTTTATTTTACTCCTAAAACATCTCACAATCTGTAAGTGTTAAATTCTTCCTAACGTCTTCCTTTTCTGTTGACTTGCAACATTTTCAGGTGTTCGGTTCAGATTTCAGTGTTTCCAATTGTGTTTTTATTTCTAAGAGGCAGTGGATATTTTTCAGACTTTCAGTGAGGAAGTGGTTTAATGCGACACTCCCAAGTCGCGAATCTCTGCTGTGCTTCAGTGGGGAAACAGTTGCCTGTGTTGATTTTGAGCATCTGTGGATGGTTCCTGAAGGAACAATGATGTCATGGAAGCCGCTATCCTCATTCGGGTTCACTGATTCTGCTCCTGACAGAAGTACAAAGCAGATATGTTACGGTTTGTTTTGTTTTTGATTTTCAGACTCTAGCTTCAGGCGTAACCTGTCTATTCTACCTTCACTGAAACAAGATAAAAGAATAGCAACTCTTTGAAATTGAAAACCTAATTGTTGAAGCATTTTTTTCTCCCCCTCTCCACTAAGCCATTCACTCTAGTAATAAGAGCTTTGTGAAATCCGTGCACTGTGAAACATTAAGATTAGTTTATCCTTCCATATTCGGAATTGGCAAATGTACTACAAGTTGAAATGTTTTTCCTGCCTTTGACTTTGGCTCCAATGTACACTTGTTTAGCTGGCTTGGCAGATGGATCAAGTCCCAGGTTTCTCCATGATCATTGATGTTGCCCCTAGTTTGATCTGTCAGTAGGCAAGATACCTTTCTGTTTACTGTGACTCCTCACTGTTGACTGACCATTGAAGTTGTAAATAGACTGGCTCAACTGATGCATATCATTCGGTTGGGTTGCTGGAACTGCAAAAAACGGCATTGATGCAATGTTATAAATTCTCCTATACATGTTTGAAGATGAGAGATTATTGTCATAGCCACAGCAGTACTGGAGGGTAGGGGGAGATGGATGTGGCAAGGAGCTGAACCATTACATGTGCGGTTTGAAAAATGACTTCTTTTCAGTTTTGTCTTTAGAGTGTGCTTTTGAAACAGATGTGGATTAAGGCGTGCAACAAAGCATCCCTGTAATAATTATTATTGATTTGAAAAAAATAACGAAATAATAATAACCCTTGCATTTGATATAGCGCCCCATCACATGTATGAGACATCTCATACGCTTCACAGAATATACTGTAAAGAGAATTGACTGTATATTTTATGGGCGAAAGGCGGCAACCAATTGCGCACAGCAGTGTCCCACAAACAGACATGGACTAAGTGACCAAATTATTATTTTTTTGAAGGGATTATTACCCCCGGAAAAACGATCCATGAATCGACTAACAACCGAGTTCCTAATTACTGCCAGGTAAACAGAGGCGTGTGGAGTAAGGAACTTGCCCACTGTTTCGCCCTGCCCTGGAATCAAACCCAGGTCCTCTCACTTGTGAGGCAAGTGCTCTAACCACTAAGCTACATGTGTCAGAGTCATCCCAGGTCACATTTGTTTCTTCTCGTCAGTGGCTGACCAGCTGTGCTGGTAACAGGCTGTCAATCCACCCTCTTGTAAAGGGTGCTTGTACTTGGAGATTGTGAGTGAAAATAAACAAGAGTGAGTTCCTTAATTTAAAAAAAAACACTCTTTTATCTTGTCCCCTGATTTAAAAAGTACTGGAAAAATATCTGGTTACATGGAATATCATCCTACTTGACCAAAAATATCATTCTATTTAACCTTCTGCCCAAGATCATTATTTATTCTTGTCAGAATAATAAATGGTTACTCGCCTTGGAGATATGGGGAATAACAAAAGTGTCACAATTAATTTCAAGCAGTGCTGTTGATGTGGTTGTTGGATTCCTGCATTGTAGAATATTGCTCATTCCATCTTCCGCGGATTAGTCCTGAATGTTTCAGTGGAAATGTCATGCAGCTTTTACCAGAGATATTCAGTGCTCAAAAGGTTATAGAAATTTATTTTTTAATCCTTGAGTTTGGAGGTTGTGTAGGATATCTAACTGCAGGGGGCACTATTCACATTTTATCGGTCGTGCTATCTGTCTGAGCTGCTGAAATTCCAAATGCAATGCCAGTAATTTTTGTAGGTGAACGCCACACGTTTGCAACCCTTTCAAGTGTGTTTCAGGCAAAGTGGGTAACATTGAATGTTTTTAAAATATTTTTCTTCCATTGCGTTATGAAATGGAATGTTTTGAACCCGTCCGTTTTACATCTTTCCTAACTGGATTAGCGAAGGAGTTAGTAGTGTTTGATATCTTTAATGAGACGCTGTAATAATAGTGGATTAATACATTACCTGCAGCGTTAGCAGCAGGCACATTGCAGTGTTTGTACCAACAGTGTTGTATTGAAGTTGATTTAGTTTTTCCTTAAGGAGTTAGGTTAAGGAGGCCTAAATATTCTTCCCTGGATATGCATTAACAGTGTACATGTGCAGAGCACAGGAGGTGACCTCATTGGAGACCTGATGTACTGGAATTCAGCATTTTCCACATTACTTACAACATGACTTCTATGTTAGAACTGGGATGCCTTTTATTGTAAGACTCTGGGAGCTCCTGCCATATACCAATATGAAGGGGTATTCATTGTGGCTTTCACACTGTTATGAAGGTCTGCCTTTGCTTGCACAATGATTTTGTTTTACCTTTACCCTTTAAAACATCCTTCCAAAAGGCAGCTTGTGCTTGAAAGTGAAGTATTTTCTGCGTTTAAAATCGTAACTGTTAGCGATGCAAGAAAGGAAAACGAGTGACTTTCTTTTAAAGCGAGAATACCTGAAAAAGATGCCTTGGCTTGGCGAGCATGAGTTTACACCATTCCTTGAGCTCAGTAGTCTGAGCATTCAACAATCACCACACGTGGTGGTGCTGTATTCTGATTGCACCGCCAATGTACTTCTTCTGTCCATGCACCTGATATTTTGATCTGGAGATAACAAAACTGCTGAGTGTGAGCAGCCCATGTTCCTTCGGAGCATAGTGATTAATCCGCTTATGCCGTTAAGTAGATATTGGGCAAATTCAGTGTTTGTCCTGACATTGATTGGATTTCGGGCTCATTGTGTGCTGTTCTACTGAAGCAATTCCAAGTTCCCACACTGCCAAATTGAACGGATAGTTGTAGAAGTTTTAGATAATTGAAATTAAGCTACTTTGTGACTATAACATTTTGTTTTGACTCTCAACTATCTTTTCTACCCCACATCCGTGCCATGACCCGCTCTGCCTCCCCCCCGCCTCTGCAACATCGCCAGGCTCCGTCACTGTCTCACACCGCAGTCCGCCGAGACCTTCATCCATGCATTCATTACGTCCAGGATCGACTATGCAAACTCACTGCTTGTCGGCCTCCCCAACTCCTCCCTCCACAGGCTGCAGATCGTCCAGAACTAACTCTGCAGCCCGTGTCCTCTCCAACACCAGGCTCTATGAGCCTATCACCCCCACCCTCGCCCAACTCCACTGACTTCCCGTCACACACAGGATACAGTTCAAGATACAGGTCCTCACCGTCAAAGCCCTCCATGGTCTTGCTCCCCCACCCGACCTCTGCCACCCCCTAACCCCCTAACATCCTGCTGGCTCCCTCCGCTCAGCGGGCTCCGGCCTGCTTCATGTCCCCCACCTCGCGTTCCCACCATTGGCGGGCGACCTTCAGCCACTCTGTCCCCACCCTCTGGAACTCCATCCCATAGTCCCTCCACCCCTTGCTTACTTCAAGACTCATTTCAAGACCGTCCTCTTCGACCGTGCCTTTGTTCACCCTCCTTCCCCACCTGCCCTCCATCCTCCCCAATCCCGCCCCCCAGCTCAGGTCTGAAAAACTGATTGTCCAGCGCCTTGGGACGTCCTCCTAACATGAAAGGCCCTTTACAAATGTAATTTTGTTGTTGTTCTGAATTTGTTCTGCGTGTGAAAATCATCTAATCATTGGGATATATTCTGTGAAGTGCTTTGAGACGTCTCGAAGATGTGATAAGGCACTATATGAATGCAAGGGTTCATATCTTTATGGCGCAAAATTACAGAATGGTTTGAATTATTTCTCGCATTCTGAAGGGGAAGCTAAACATTAAAAGAATTCTGCTGCCTTCAAACCTCACATCGTAGGTGAATGTAGATTTACTTCTTGATGTTTTTTCCATGAATTGGCAGTACCGATAACATATTTTTTTCATCGATAAATGCCAGGCTTCCTGTTGCATTTTATGTTCGCTATACAGGGTGACCAAAAAGTCTTGATATCTACCCTGTTATCTTTTTTTCAAAAAAATCATAATTTCTTTAAGACTTATTAAACATTGTAATGGTATCGAGACGTTTTAATCACCCCATATAAAGAATGGAAAATTAGTGACTATAAATTTTTTTATCAGAATCATTCTACATGCCCAGTCTAATGTTGCAGTGAAATAGCACATCTTCAGTTAACTTTGCAGTCCCGGCTGCCAGTCCACATGATGGTGGGCTTACAAGCACGCAGCGAAGGACTCTTTGCTCCCTCTTCCTAACCCGGGCAATTTGCCCAAAACTAGTTGTTATTTTACTCTTGGGAATCCCTGTGAAATGAAGTGTCTCCTTTGGTCTGAATGGCCTTTTCTCAAAACTGACTTGTTTTACAATTTAATCCGCCCCTTTATTGTTATTAATCGACAGTCAACGGTGTTACAGAATTAGCAAGAACTAAATGGTC